TTATTATTTCAACGGCTTATCAGTTCATGGAGGAAGCAGGTCAGAGAAACTCAAATGTCTTTCCAGTAGCATGTGCCCATAACCCTACAAAAAAGGTGTGCAGAAACATCCTAATTAGAAGTCTGATTAACTCAGCTGACTCTGCCTAATACAGAGAAGCAGCAGTTCTTCAATCTCCCCCAGAATGATGAAGCTCCTCGCCTTTTCTTTAAGGCTGATCCCAGCCACCCAATAGAAGAAACTCACTGCAGCTGTATCTGGGATCTTAATCTTTAGGTCACRATCCATAGACTCTAGCTGAAGGTTAGAATACTGTAGATTGACAGGACTTTCCAAATATTATATTTGTCTCCCCTTAAACTTTAGAAGAYATAAAGGCCTAGAAACATAAAGTTATTTCTCACAACTCATAGCCAAAAACTTGAGGTACTGTTCTTATTATATCACTGATTACGTCTTTATCACCTTCTCAGAAACATCTCACACTACCATCAAAATTTTGCCAATATTTTAATTTCTTAAGCAAAATATGAACATTGTTGAGATAAAATTAAAGGGCCCAATAGCTGGATTCATAGCACAATAAACATACCTTCACGTATAGATGGTGCCTGCAACATTTGTTTGTAGTACGAGTAGTAAAGTCCACACTCTGTCCGAAAGGAGATCTCCCGCTCCACTTCCTGAAAAAAAAAACAAAAAAAACAATGAGGAATTTGGTTATATAAAACCAAACCTTTCAGTATGTTTAATATGGAAAACAGATATACTGGAAAGACCAGACAGAACAGAAGATGACAAAAGCAAAGCAAAGCAACTAACATGTTACTAAAAAGTACAAATCAGAAGGATTTGATGCATGTAGACCCAAGAGACAACCTGCTTGCTATGCATAATTACATTTTCAGCTGCAGAGTAAGGGGCACTACTGTGAAAAACCTGCTGATCAGTTTTGTTCTGAAACTGTTTTTTCAGCATTATTGACCCTCTACAGATAAACAGTTCAAGTGCTCTCAAAAYCCAATCCTTGTTAAAAACCAAATCCCATTTCTACACATTTCTAAATATTACTACAGTAGAAGATCTGAGACTTTTCCAATAATCACTTTGGCTCTAACAGAAAGACCATAAAAGATTGCAATGGGCACATATTTGCTTTCTGTCTGATAAAATAACAGATGGAATAAGTCACATAACTAGGTAATGGAAAAAACAGAGACACAGAGATTTGGAGTTTGAAGATCAAAAAAAGTCACAAATCCACCATGGAAAAAATCTATACACCACTACAAAGGAAACAGTTTTGATCAAATCTAAAATTTGATGCTAAATACACACTTAATGAAAATGATGAAATAAAATGCAACACCAAAATGACATGAATGTAACACCATTCCTTAAGATTCTACCACAGATTAAACTGTGAAAAAGTGTTGTCAGAAATTAGTATGAAAAGGCCTTTTTATCATAAGTCTACTTATCAAACTAAAATACACTTGGATATGTGAAACTGCATCATTGCTTATGGCATCACTGCCCGTAAATGTATAGTTAAACATGTCATAGTTTGGGTTTTTGGTTTCTGTTTTTGTAATATGATTAGGTTTTTTAGGTCATGTTTTGGTTTTTGTTTATGTGGGTTTTCTGTGTAAGCTTCTTTTGTCTCAGGTGTGTTCAGTTTCTGTGATTAGTGTTGCTTTCATTTCCTCAGGTGTTTTCAGTTAACTCATTAGTTTTCCTGTGTATTTAAGCTCTGTCTTGTCTCTGTGTCAGTGTACGATCATTGTGCTGTAAAGCGTGTCTCGTTTTTCATGTTCCTTGTTCAAAGAGTTTTTGCCACGTCTCCTTGAGAGTTTTTTCAGCTGCCTCGTCAGCATTTTGATTTGTAAATAAACTTTATTTTTGTCACATCGGAAACCTGCCTGTGCCCTGGGTCATTCCTTGTCTAGACCTGACAGAACGATCGGACCAAACACCCAACCTGCAGGCAGTACTTTTTCTGGCCTGGATCATGGAGAGATTTTGAGGTCTTTGCAGCAGTGGCGGAGACAGCGAGATGAGCTGGCTGCTCGTTTTCCCTGGCTCTCTTCATCGACGGCATCAGCGTCTGGTGGGTCTTTTACCCACCCCCACTCACCCCCACCCCTGTTGCTCCTGAGCTGGTGGTCTCCATGGTCCCACAGTCGGTGGTTCCACAGTGGGCGGTCGCACAGTTGGCGGTTCCGGTGGTCCAGGAGTCAGAGGTCTCGGTGGTCACAGTGTCTGAGGTCTCGGTGGTCTCTGAGTCGGAGGTATCAGGGGTCCTGGGTTTTTATTTTTTATTTTTTTTTGCCAGTATTGCCCAATATTTATTTATTTATTTTAAATAAATAAATTACCTCAACTATATATATATATATATATATTTGGAAATCCTGCAGAAAAGTGATGGTAACTATCTGTTTCTGCATAAAAATATAAAACGACCTAAACAGAAATGAGTCAGCTAAAAATCTATGAAGAAGCAGAAATTCCCACTGTGAACTGAGATTGACAGCTGATGGGTGTGACACATCATTACTGACTGAAACCCGTACTTTAGAATGTGGCTGGCTATATTGTGCTGCATTTATTGAACGTTCAAATGCAAGTATTTTCTATAATTCCATGTAATAACTCCTACCGTAAGCTCAGAGAACCACAGCAGATTCTCGTGTATGGTGTTGACACACCAGGCCTGAGTCATGGCCAGCAGCCCTGCTAGAAACAGCCCTGCTGCCATGGAAACCCACTGTTGCCAAGGCCACCGAAGAAGAATGCATGAACCGGAAAAAGAACCGGCTCGTCCAAGCAGAGAAACTTTTTCTCCAACTCCCTCTTGTGTGGCATCAGACCTTGTTGTTGCCATCATTTTGTCATTGTTGCATCTGTCAGCTGAGCCATCTGGTGAAAATCTCAAAATACTTTCTAGGCGGCTCTGCCTAACTCTCTTTCGAAACCCCATTTTCTGAGAAAACTTTGATTATCTTTAAATTGTTAGATCCTTTGATGGGCTCAATCCAGGTAGATTAGCAGCATGCTTTTGGGTTAAGCTACAGAAGTTATCCAAATCCAATACAGAAATAAGTGCCAATGTAGTCTGTTCTTCTTTCCTTGAAGTCACTCCAAATAAATTATAAAAGCTTTTAAAATCGCTTCAAGTTCCTTGCCAAAGGAAATATGCAAAAGCTATCTCAGAGGGAATAAGCAGCCAGCTTTCTTCCAAATCCTCTTTTGAGATTGCCTGAAGCAAAATAATCCTTGGCTTTTCACCAAAAACTATAAGGAATATGGATAATCCCCAGTTTATATTAAGGTCAGAGAGAAGAGGCCAAATGAACAAGTTCACATTAATCTGAAAGCTAGTTAATGTCTCAAATAAAGACATCAGTACACTTTTTTTCAGTTCTCTCTTTCAGCATTTCCATTTGTATGAATCTTTGAGTAACTCCAACATCTGATGTGGCACTTGAAAAATCCAAGAATGGGTCCATCCATGTCTGAAACTGCTCAGTCCTTCCTCAGCTTTTATCTTCAAAAGTACAAATAGAGACAAGTGTCATATCTTCAATCAATTCTACTGCAGACTTGAGTAGAAGGGAAAAAAAAAGAAAAGCAATGATTCTCAGCAAACCAACTACTAAGTAGGAAGGGAAAAGTAAGAATGAGCCACAGTAAGAGTGCAAACAACAGGCGAGACTGTGGATGGCTGAAGGAACCAAGGGGAGGGAGGATAAAAAAATAAAAAAAAAACTGGACTAGTGGTGACTTTTGTCTATAAAACACACATGCTTACAGGAAAAGAAAAAGATGAGTTTGGGGGTGGGAGAGCACCAATGGGAACACGTTGGAACATTATTCGGAAAACGTAGGGAACATTTGTCAGAGAATTTGTGGCTCTGAAACTGGTGTGAAGCTGTGAGAGCATGCTTGAAATAAACCCTCCAAGGCACCAGAGCAGACACGGACATGAGCTCACACCTGATGAATTCGAGAGGAAACAATGAGCCAGCTGGCATTAAGCCTATTCAACAAGCCACAGATACCATCACTGGTCAACTGGTCACATCAATTAGTTACATGTTTCAAGGTCCATGTTTGTCTGAGACAGCAAGTTAAAAAGTCAAAGTGTGTAAGACACTGTGGGTTTCAAAGAGCAGGAAACTAAATACAACCTGACTGGCTGAGAAGCAACAGTGAGGAAGCCAGAAGCAGACGCTTAAGTAATCATTGTAGAAGGTGTACAACACAGTATGCTCTTTAACTTGGTCCAGAAGCTGTGYTTTTTCCCTTGCAAAATGTACAACCACACTTTATAAAAACAGAATAAAAATAGAATGGCATGAAAAATGCAAATAAAATGGAAGGTTGTCTTCAAAAAAAGTAATAATAATTACCAAGAAATTAGTAGTTTTCCTTGACATGCTGATCCCAAGTCACTACTCCCTCTGTCTTTGACATTATACAAACCTTAGACCTCTGTCTCACTTTTATGCACTTCTCTTGTGTTTCTATGGTGTACAGGGATATGTGGCTATAAAAACATGACATCATCAACCTCTTTACCTGATACTCTCACACATGTAGACTAATCTCCAGCARTGCCAGATTTTCACAGATTTATAGATCATGTCAGATTTTTTTTTCATGAACAAAGTAGCTTTAAAACATAACATTTAYACATTTACCTCAGTTACACAGACGTAACCCAAGAATGATGTAACACAATCTTATGTACTTCTCAACATAATCCCATGCTGCTGCAGATATACATTGCATTGGCTGAGTATTCTGTATATGACATTGTCAGACCTCAAACATTTTCAATATGTCAAATCAATCCACAAACATGAAGTCTGTTGTGGGTTCAGTTTTGTTTGGTTTGGACTTTAGTTCAAGATGATGTGAAAGTACGACAGAAGACAAATTGCTGGCATACAAATTGACGTATGCCAGAGCGGAGCAAGGGAGAGTTAGTAAAAATGAAAAGACAACCCAAAAACACACCTGAAGATGGTGAATGAGACAAATGCTAGATGCTAAGAAAATGCTGCAATTTGAATATTGCCATTTGTAGAGTCGACAAATAATATTTTTAACATGCAGCAACTACATTTAAAATGTTGAATGATACTTTGAAGCGTCTCTACCTGGTTATATATATTTTTTCATATAAATTTGTTTTGAATTAGTTGCTTTTTTATGACAAGACATCAGCTCCCACCAAACTGTGATGAACATAACCGAGCCAGAAAAATCACAACTCAGTGTTCAGGACTGCAGTCTCATTTCCTCTGTAACGTCCATTTGCATATGCATTCACTTAATCAGCTTTAACGAAAATGAACTRCTTCATCCAAATTAAATTAGGATATTTATGAATTTAAAGTCAAAGTTTAATTAAAAATAATCAAATGGGTAAATATGAGGTTATAAGAGCAACGAAAGTGTCATCAATGCTAATTCAAAAGACATGCACTGGTACATTTGCATTTCTGCAGTTAATTTATTCAATTGCTAAGTAATAATAATGRTTACTTCATGTTTTAAGGATTTTTTCCCCTAAAAATTAAATATGTTTTACAACTTTAACTTTTAGTTTCTATGACTTTTCTGAGACAGAATGTCCTATTCTGACCACTCCAATGACTTTTGACCATGTTTTGACCAATTGACCACTCCAATATTTTTAATGGTCCAAATCTTCATTTTGAAATGGTACTTCAGTAGATTAAACCATAAATGTGAGAGTGACTGCCAAGTTTGGTACAAAACAGGTCGAGATGGATTTGATGTGTGCAACAAGTGATTTTTTATTTCAGTTTGTGCCAACAATCACCACAAAAACTGACAGTGTCAAATTAAAAGAGAAAAAAAAAAAACACCCAGTAAAAATTGTCCTCACTTTACTGCTCCTTGAAACTAATCAGCCTGTTTTGCTTCATGTTTGGCCAAACCAATGTTCCTCCTAAAGTCTAAAAGGGCCACTTAAAAATGACATCATATTTGGCTTTGCACAGAGCTCTGTTGCTGCACAGCAGAGACTATGAGAGATACAGTGTGCCAACCCTGAGGATCAAGGACTGTGTGGCTGATTCAACAGGTTTAAAAATCAGCCTTGTAAAGCACATGGAAAACCTATTATCCCATAATCTGATGAAGTGTTTATGMTGTGTTTTGGAGGCCATTTCAGCCCTAGCAAAGTATRAGGTGGAAAGTAAGTATTATTAAAYCATGTGTTGCTTCTCGAGATAAGCTGAAAATAGATGTGAATTATGTTACTAAATTTTATAAAAATGTTAAGTGCCCACAAGTTTTCAAGTCTACCAGATTTTAATCATGGGCAGAAAGTTCACAGATTAAACCAGTTGTGCAATGGAACCTTAGCAGAGACGAATCCTGTTCTTTACTGGCCTGGCTTTGGTCTACAAAAATGAGARTGCTGTTTAAGCACAGTACTGCCCTGTTATGGTCCGATATTTGCAGGAAAAATAATCTACCCACCTTTCCAAATGTTTTAAAGATAAAAACACAGTTTAGTTTTTCTTTTTTTTTTTTACAGTTGGCATTAATGACTGTGAAAATCATTGTCAGTGCTCAACTTCTTACATCTGGTTGTCTCCAGAATTTATATTTACAAAGAAATATTATGCATATAAAATCCTGATACCCCTCACCCTAACGTTGAGGTCAATGGTTTTAGACCAGTTGCCCTTATTCAGGGGGACTAGATTTTATGTTTTCTTTCACTCCAAATAAAATATGTATGAATTTTTTTAACTCATAATTATTTTAAAAGCATTTGGTTATTATGTTGATGAGGTTCTACTAATCCTAAAGAACTAGGGAAATTAAAGAAACACACAAAAGCAAAAGCTTGGGTCTCTTTAGTATAAAACTGTCTGTCCAAAGAGGACCAGTGGAGGACCTAATATTTTTAGGGATGGCCATCGGCTCGCCTGCCCCCCGACTTGGTAGGACTTCAGCACGGACATACTTAAAGGATTCTGCTTTAACAAGTGTTCCAAAAGGCAGTTTGTACCATGTGACAAACGGTAATATTCCACTGTTTAAATATATGTTATATCAATTAAGACACCTAAATGACTTCCTAACACCTGATTGGTTGCAGTCTGAAAATAGAGTACTGCTTTTATGTGTACTTGTAGAACACAGAGAGCCTTCCAACATTCACACAGTCACTTCCAGTCTGTCTGATTTTGCTTAAAGCTGAGTTCTTTGGAGCTCGCCTGTTCTCAGACAGAAAGGGAGAGGGAGGGAATAAAACAGGAGAATGAAATGCAATCAAGAGCTGAACAGCAGATCTRTGTCACCCTAGCAACAAGGGGAAAACACTCAAGATCTCAACTGTTAAAGCTTTTTACCTTGATGTTGGAGAACCACAGGTCATTCTCATGTAGTGTGGTCACATAGATGCAGCACAGCAGACCGAGACCAACTGAAACAGCCCAACCAATCGAGGTCCAGATTATAGCCCCCCATGACCAATCACCTGCAGGAATGGTATTAAAATTATTCAAAATATGCTACTAACAAAATAAACCAAAACCACCATCACTTTAACTTTTTTAACAACTTTAAAAACTAAAAAATGTGTTGTATTTAACTTTTTAGATTAATTGAAGGCATGATTTTACATTATCATAATTTGCATTGCCAAAAAAAGAAAAAAAACAAAAGTGTGCACAGATTTAAATATTCAAATGTGTCGCTGTTTAAAAACTAAGTGCTTACAGATCTAAACAAGCTGTTCCATCTGGCAGATTTAAACAAAACATGGCCCGGACACAAGAGCTCCCATTTGTAACAATGAAAATTTAAGTCCTTCAAAAGGGTATTCTGCACAAAAGTGTGGTAAAAGTTGTTGGTGGTAAACAATCAGGTTGGTTTTTAGAGCATATACTCTCAAACTGGCACTCAAACAATCATGACTTTAAACTGACAGGGCATAAAGCTATAGTCAAAAGATAAAGATTAAGAAAAAGTAAAGAAGAAAGCTGTGTTTGAGAGAACTTTAACACATTTCAGAAGGATATAAAATTTATATTAAAATAAATGCAAACACAAATCACCACGACCAAATTAAAACATGGATACCATGGACTAAAAGAGAAGTGAGAGATTGCAATCTTCATTAAAAAAAAATCTATATTTATTTTGGTATTTTTTAATGTCGAATGGGTCCATTT